TCAGCAGGAGGGTTGGACTAGATGACCCACAGAGGTCCCTTCCAACGCCTACCATTCTGTGTGTGTGATTCTGTGTGTGGGTAGCCGTCACCTGAGGTGGTATCTGAGGTCCCTCAGGGCCTGTCTGGTCACTGGCGGCACTCCGTTTCGCAGGACCGCCTTTCGGTCGCACAGGCCCAGTGTCTCTGGCTAGACCTCCCCTTTGTCTTTGGTGTCACTGCAGCGTGTGCTCACCTACAAGGAAGGGCCTGCCCAAAACTGGAAACAGAAGAGTGTAACTTGCCCATCATACCCTTTGTTCTGAGGACTGATAGGTGTTGGGGAAGGATCTGAAATTAATAGGTTTAGCCTGAAGCAGTGGGCCTTCGTGCGTATGCAGCCTGTCTTGATTCCTGCAGGTGATTCCAGGCAGAGGAGGGCTGCCTGTTGCACACATGCAGTTCTGAGCTTAAGGTCTGATAGGTAAAACTTGCCCCTCTGTCTTTTTTGTAGGGGAATTTCTTCGATGAATTTCAGATGGAAGGAGTAGCTGCAGAGCACAATGAAATCTATTTAGAGTTGATGCCTGAGAACCTGTCGAGAGCATTAAAAACTGCCCAGAGTGCCAAGGCAGTGAAGATCAAGTTGACTAACAAACACTGTCCCTGTCTCAGAGTTGCTGTGGAACTAGTAAGTGCACCCATGGTTCATTATTATTATTAACTTCATGGTTAAGAAAAAGCTCTTAAAAATTAAGTGCTTTTCCTGAGATGAAACAGAAGCTTTGGCAGTCTTTGGTGTAATTCTAGAGAACTAAATAAAGAAAAAACATTCAATTTTCCATTTCACTAGCCTTTCCTGCCATCATGATTGGTAGCACACAGAATCAGCTTTGTATTTTCCCAAAGGCGAGGAAGAGGTGGAGGAGGAATGAAAGCCATGTGATTGAAACATCTTTTCCTAATGTCTGCTTTTCTCCATTCCTTCATTCTCTACCTCTCCTGTGGATTATTGCCTTCTCATTGAAGCCATTAGGTGAAGGAGGTCTCAGTGTAGTGTTTGGCTCTTTGTTTTGCTTTTGATTGTCCTGCCATTCCATTTCAAACTGCTCTCTTCCAAGTTTTTTTGTTATTAACTCCTCTTTACTGATTCACCTCTTCAGCTCTGAGGTTAGCTTATAGATACTGATGACTAGTATACCTCACAACCTCTTCCTTATTCAAAAGGGAAGTCCGCTTAATAGCAGGCTGATAGAAACCTATGGAAAACTGGAACTGAGTGTCTGGGGCACTCAATTAATTTCCTGGAGTGGGTCTGTGTTTTGGTTTGGCCTGGATAAATGCCAGGTGCCCAGCAAAACTGCTCTCACTCCCCCTCCTCAGCTGGACAGGGGAGAGGAAATATGATGAAAGGCTCGAGGGTTGAGACAAGGACAGGGAGAGATCACTCACCAATTACTGTCACGGGCGAAACAGATTGAACGTGGGGAGAAGAAGGCATTTAATTCATCACCGATCAAATCAGAGTAGCATAGTGAGAAATAAATCCAGATCTTAAAACACCTTCCCCCCACCCCTCCCTTCTTCCCGGGCTCAGCTTCACTCCCGTTTCTCTATGTCCTCCCCTCGAGTGGCATAGGGGGACGGGAAATGGGGGTTACATCACACGTTGTCTGTGCCACTCCATGTCCCTCAGGGGAAGGACTCTTCACACTCTTCCCCTGCTCCAGCGTGAAGGTTCCTCTCATGGGACACAGTTCTCCACGAACTTCTCCAGTGTGAGTCCTTCCCATGGGCTGCAGCTCTCCACGAGCTGCCCCAGCATGGGTCCCTCCCACAGGGTGCAGTCCTTCAGGAACAGGCTGCTCCAGCGTGGGTTCCGCACGGGGTCACAAGCCCTGCCAGCAAACCTGCTGCGGTGTGGGCTCCTCTCTTCACGGGTCCACAGGTCCTGCCAGGAGCCTGCTCCAGCGTGGGGCTCCCCACG